TGCGGCCTCGGCCCTGGATTCCTCCATTGCACGATCACTGAGTGATCATGCAATGGAGGGGCCACCTAATTCCTAGGTGGCCTTACTTTTAAGGTAAGGCCACCTAGGAATTGGGTGGCCCATTCGATTGATCAGTAAGGCCACCTCATTGCCAGGTGGCCTGACCTTGGAGAAGGTCGGGCCGGGGCCTAAGACAGTCTAGGCCCCGGTAACTACATGTCAACTATGATTGGTTCTTGAGTAATGAACCTTTCCGTGGTACAATCTCTGTGTGAACCATAAGTTGACATGTGAGATATGTAAACATATCAAATGTAAGGTGTAAGGCTACGTGTGTATACATTGTGTAATGGCTGACCACAACTCAGCCACCATTTGAGTGGAAGCATTTAACCAGTCCTTTGTTATTTGATTCTTCTGATCTTATTATTCTTGAAATCTGTTCTGTCCGCTTTCTTCAATTTGTTGAATCAACCAAGGTAATCCATGTTCTTCCTTTGTCTTCCCATTTGTTCCTGACTTCACCAAGATCAATACAGAACATATAAGAAGAAATATTATATCCTCAAGAAGAAATAGAACCTTGAAGAATCCACAAGAAGCCGATAATAATTGAATGTAGATTAATAAATCAATCAATATTTCTCGAACATCTGTTCCATTCATCGCAAAAGAAGACTCATATAATTCAAAACATTTACCACTCATGATTTACTCACAAACAATTATTGAAGACGGAAGTACTTGAGATACATGCAGAGATGTTTATGTCTCGTGAAGGGCAGGGCAAGTGACTGAGGGGACCCCCAACTACCAGCCTAACCCTTTGCTAAATGTATCTCAGAGCTTCCTGATTTCAATCCTCAAGAAATTACTTTATCAATCATTCCTTCAAACAATTATTCATTAATGCAAATTCACTTATTTCAAAAGATTTACAGCTCAAGGTTATTCACATTGACTCATGGAAGACGGAAGTACTTGAGATACATGCAGAGATGTTTATGTCTCGTGAAGGGCAGGGCAAGTGACCGAGGGGACCCCCAACTACCAGCCTAACCCTTTGCTAAATGTATCTTGGTGCTTCCTGATTTCAATCCTCAAGAAATTACTTTATCAATCATTTCTTCAAACAATTATTCATAAATCTATATATTCATGTCATTCATACTCAATCATTCAATCCATCAAATATTTAATCACTCATTGTTTATTCACTTTATTCATTATTTCATTGCATCCCCACACAAATTAAGAAATCTTGATTTTTTGATGAGCATTCCACTAATCAAAACAATGTTTTTTTACGTAGATGCCAAAACCAGTATCAGACCTCAGAAAGCAAAAGCTTGCGGAGTGCCAAAAGAGGAAGAAGGCTCAACAACACAATGCCAAACAGGATCCAGTCCAGGATGTTCAAAGAGAATGTGTCAGTCAAAGAATTAAAGCAGGAATCAAAGACCGGTTTGGCTTGCCAGAGGACTGTGATGTTTTCCAAGTTCCTCAATTTGGGAACAGGAAAGAGCAAGTAGTTACCTATGGAACTGTTCTACTTGTGAATTTGGCTGGAAATAAGCTTATATGTGTTGCTAGGTTCAACAAAGTGGTCAAGTCCCTCAAGCTTTATGTTGTATTCACATGGCTGACAATTCTTGCTGCAGGACCCCACCAGCAATGACCCTGCAGAAGTGAAACTTTGGAAAGACTTTTGAAGGGCTATCAAGATCATGCAGCAACACTCTGAAG